AGCCGTTTTTGTAGGCATTAAACTGCCAGAATTTTAAAAGACGATATCTCCGTTTGCATTGAACTTTCAGCTTAGTAACTTTGCAGATATTGTTTATGCTCAAACAGCAACATTACACACTAACTAACGTTAAAAAAGTGAAATTGCAATCAACCCCCCCTTTAAGCAAAACAGTAGATGAACTGTACCGTATACTGTCTGCTTCTGAAAATGACATACCAACCTTTCCTCTGGAGTCTCAACATGAAAAGTGCGTTCAATAACAGTAGTCCACTGCAGGCACCGAATAATAAAAGTGTTTGCCTTCGGTCGCTCTGTCTTCATCAACTGACATTTATTTAATGTTATCCGTGTTATATTTCATCTGCAGCAACACTGTGAACTTTATAATGATATGTTTCGTCATTACCTTTTAAATGCATCATTATGCAAACATATGAGCAGAGTTGTCGCCATGAAAGACCCGCGACTGGCAGATCAACGCGCCTCTTCATTTCTTTCCAATACGGTAGGATATTAAATTTAACGAAATATGGATAATGTTAACTTTGACTAGATGATTGACAGGGCAGTTTAAACTGTGACAGGATGCACGTAACTAAGCAACAGGGCGTCCGTTAAAGACGCAGTTATGACGAAGTAGTATGTCCCAAAGCTTGCCTACTATTCTGCTACATACTCAAAAGTATGTACCTTTTCTTCACAAAAAGAGTACATACTTTTAGGGCATAGTATAAGTAGGCGAATTGGGATGCAGCAACAGTGTTTGTGTGTTCCTCTGCAAACTGATAAAACAAAATGGCTACCTACGGGCCACTGAGAAGTTGTTAAGTGGAGTTTCCAGCTGGTCAACATCTTGCGGCCGCTCTTTGTACCCAATAAATGTTCCATCACTCTTGAGTAAGAAATATCTTGGTCTCCATGTTTTTATGTATTCTCCTGGAAATAGAACAAAACACTTCCAAACATAACATGGAAACATTTATGTATTAATATTTTAGTAAATGTATGTTATGCTAACATGGATCACTAAATACATAAACACTATTTTGTTCTTATTATAAAGACACATTTAAACTGAAGGCATAAGTGGTAATCAAAAAACTTTTTGCGATATACAGTATATGATAAACATATACACAACTTAATTTTTTTAATGTTTTTGTTGTTTTAAAGTCTCTTATGTTCACCATGGCTACATTTATTTGATCAAAAACAGTAAAAAAGAGTAATATTGTAAAATATTAGTACAATTTGAAATAACTGTTTCTATTTTCATATTTAATGTAATTACATATGAATTATCAGCAGTCATTACTTAAGTCTTCAGTGTCACATGATCAATCAAAAATCATTCTAATATGATGATTTGGTGCTCAGTAACTATTTCTTATTATTATTATTGGTGAAAACTGCTTAATAACTTTGATGAATAGAAAGTTTAAAAGAACTGCATTTATTTTAAATATAAATCTTTTGTACCATGAATGACTAAATGTTGCCCATCAACTGTTCGGATACTAACATTTTTCAAAATATCTTCTTTTGTGTTCAACAGAAGAAAGAAACTCATACAGGTTTGGAACAAGTGGAGGGTGAGTAAATTCTGACAGAATTTTCATTCTGGAAGTGAACAACTCCTTTAAGGTTTGCACTCAGAAAATAAGATGTAAACCAAATAAATGTTGAGTACTGCTTCTATTCTTATAGAAGCAGCCAGTATAGTATCAGGCAGCCAGTATCTATGACCAAATTCTGGTAAAGTACACCATTTACAGTACACATGTCATAGGCCGTTCTCCTTTAAACCACGCAGACTACAAGTCCACACCTGAAGTACCCTGCTGTACTTTAACGTAAATAGTAAAAGGGGTATCCCTGAACCCTTATAAAAGAGAAGGTTGAGAACTTTCACCATAAATTATACAGAATATCTTTATTTAATCAGCTTATCTACAGTCATCAAAACAAACAGGAAATTGCTGTTTAGTTCTGAATAACTCACTCGAGATAAGGTTCACACAAACTCAACTAGAGAAAAAAAACACTAACATCAAATAAGACCAAGACAGTCTCTGTAAAATGCAAGAGTTCACATTATTAATCAGTTGAGAGTGGTTGTCACCTACACAAACAAAAACAACAGTAAGATGCCATGACTGTTGTTGGTGTTTGGGGTTTCATGGTTGGATTTTCATTTCTTTGTCTTTTTTTTTTTATTATTTTAATGTCGCCACATTAGTGGGACTTCTGGTAACTAAGAGTCATATTCTTGAAAACAGGAAGCAACACAAAAGATAGCGTGGCCACACAAGCAGTTTAAAAATGAGCTACTGCTATTGCTGACTCATATCTGCACTGATATATACACACTTAAACATGAGCACAGTAAGATCATAACACATGATCCTCCAGGGAGCGTGTCAGTGTTTTAAATGTATGCCAGAAAATAATTTTTTTATTAAGGGCCATTATTTATTAATGTAATGTCAATGTATCGATTATCGTCTTGTTCCTTCCTATGAGAAAGTTAAATTTTCACTAGTGACATATGATCTAAGCAATTCTCTGTGATGAAAAACAAATGCACCAGCTCATCTCTGTGTGTATACATAATCAACCAGTTTGTGTGAAAATTGTTCTGTTCCAGAATCCAGATTAAGCCCAGACACAGTTTTTTACTCAGGGACTTCCTTCTGCTTAAAGGGGTCATATGATGCTTTTTTAAAGATCATTATTTTGTGTATTTGGTGTAACAGAATATGTTGACATGCTTTAATGTTCAAAAAACCCATTATTTTTCAAATACTGTACATTATTGTAGGTCCTCTATGCCCCGCCTCTCTCAAACGCTTCGTTTTCTACAAAGTCCCTCCTTCTGACAAGCGCAGTCTGCTCTGATTGGCCAGCTGACCCAGTGCATTGTGATTGGCCGAACACCGCAAGCACTCGTCAGAAATGTAATGCCCCTTACCATAATCGCAGCTTCATCTTTCAAAATAAATGTAAAGACAGTAAATAATGTCATTAGTTTTACCATCAGTTCAAGCCCGAAAGGGGAACAGACACAGTAATGATGCAGTACACAAGCCGCGGTTAAGACAGCTGACTCTACTGTGATGTGACGCTGTCTCTCTCTCTCTCTCTCTCTCTCACACACCTACACACACACACGTACACGATGCGCAAAACTCCGCATTTGAACAGTCAATAGCAAATACTTAAACTAGTAACAAAACATACTTACAGTCGCTGATTCAGAAGTGCCAGATTGTCATAGCAAAGTCAGAATTACCTCCTCTCCTAGGTTCATGAAACGGTCGTCCATAAAATGCATTGCTGTTCTGTTGTAAGTGATCTTAAAGATTCCTAAATGCATCTACTTTTGGAAGGCCAAATAAAGTGCTTTTGCTTTCGCCTAGAAACACACAGCGTCTCTCTGACATGGCTGCTTCAACACTAACTGCGGTTACTGAAACCACGCCTTCTTTCTTTGCGTGCACATTTGGGCGCATTATGCAAATATTCCCACATAGTGACCTAGATATGTGGGGGCGTGTTAGAACGAGCCGTTTTAGGGGGGTGTGGCAGAGTCTTAACTTTGATAAAGAATATCTCTTTGGTTTTGAGACTTTAGTCTTTGCAACTTCAGGGATCTTATCTATGCACAATCAGCTTGTAACACTCCAAAGAGAAAGGAAAACTTGAAATCGCATCATATGACCCCTTTAAGGACATCAGCTAAGTTTACAGACAGATGAGCAGAGGAACCCTTCTCGTTAGTAAAGGAGATTATAAACAGGTGAGCATCTTTGAAAACAAACAAATCCAACTAAACTAATGAGAAAAATAACGTTTTGATGAAAGAAATAAATATGCTAAAAATTAACAGATGAACAAAAAAATATTCAATACAGTGTCCTGCATGCCCCCAGGGCCACACATAGGGAAAAAAATAACTCCCTAAATCCCTTGTGGGCAAAACAAGTCTGCCACCACACTAAGCAGCATAAATCCAGGCAAAGGCAGAGCTGCTTTTCATCTGGGCCTAGAATGCCATTATACGGGTGGTGTCTGTCTGCATAGCTGAACTGAAATGACCTTGCCTACAGAAGTACACAGCCCTACACTGTCCGGCAGTCCATGCCTCATGGGCCCTGGCAAAATGAGGATAGCAAACACCCGGAGTGCCTCAGGGCTTGATATTCAGCCCTTTTGCTGTTTTCAGCTCTCCACACCCTCAGGCTTTTTCCCTGCACACTGTTGCATCTCCTTCTTTGGCCCAATGACTCTGATGCTCTGTGGTTTGCAAGGACAGACATGTGCTCAAAATTTCCATGCTTTGAGGAGTGCAACACAGTAATATCCTCTCACTGACACGTACAGTAGGAACATTTACTTAAGAAGAATGTGATATGATTACATGTTGGCCGATATTGAAAACACTGAATAAATATGAAAAGAAGGAAAATATAAAACTACTCCACTGAAATAAACTGCTAAAAAAAGAAACAGAATGGCAGCTTTTGTAAAAGCTACAGAAACATGCAGCCTTTTGCATTGTCACTGATGGTGTGTTTACACTTGTGCAGAGCGAGCGGAGCAGAGCGGGCATTTTCAGTTAATTCCAATGAAAGTTGAGCTTCACACTTGCAAGGTGAATTGTGGAATTGATTGTAGAAAGCGCTGATGGTCAAGTGGTCAACAACCCTCAACTCAATACAAATGAGGATAGCAAAATGTCAGGCAGCAACAAATAGCTGTGAAGTTCAGGTAGTGATGTTTGTCTTGAATGTTTATAAATATGCAGATTGTGCAGTTTCTGTTGGAGAAAAGCTTCACAGAATCATTACCTCTCTTATGTAGCCATCCCTCTTTCACAATGACAACATCACTCATTGTGGCTGGAGAGAAAACCCTCTTGTCCCTTTGACTCGGACCAGGACCAGAAGGTGGGAACTGTTGGATGTCTCCAGCCTAGACATTCAGCAGGACAGGTGGTCTGTAGGAAACAGAAGAAAAAAAATTGTTTCTGACTTATAAAGCTTACTTATATTTTTTTAGCTTTATCCCACATTTTTAGCACAAAGCATGCTTGCACTTTTCATAAATGTGACTCTTACTGAAAATATTGACATTGCATCTGGAAAAAAAAGAAAAGAAAAAGGCACACTGCAGTAAAAAAAAAACTGATATGAATAAATCTCCAGTGTTTAAACCAGCCCTTTGCCAACTTTAGAGCTCTCACACTTCTTTGCAATCTCTCATTATTTATTTTTCTGATAATTATGTAATTATGCATTATGTTGTTTCAGGCTGATTGGTGGACCAACACAGCCACATTCTTCACCTACAAAACTTTGACTGATCAACTAACATTTATAAAACCATAGGTATGTCAGAACCTGCACAAAATTATTTTGTGCCTCTATTATTTCCCACTTAGTGGAAGACATGCTTTATCCCCTACCTTGTCTCCTCCCCCTAGTGCCTTGTTTGACTATGCGTAACCTCATAAGCATACAATTTATATATATGCATATTCCCATTCAGACATGTGTTATTATCATGTTGAATGGCCATTGTGAACAGGTCCGGAGGTACAAAGTACAACAAGCTACTGCACACAAAACCAATGGCATAGCCACGTGTCGCAGCAGTTGTACAGTAGTGTGTCATCAAACTAATTAAACTGGTCAATGGACTTTTTGACCTCGACAGCCAACAGTGTTTGTATGCAAAGCAAACTACGTTATTAAGCTATCTTCTTCAGAGCCAAGAGTGCATTATTGATATTTTCACTTTTTCTGAATTCTGAATGACCCACGGATCCTTGCTGTTGGTAAAAATGAAAACACAGCAATCCAATATCAGCGCATCCACTACTAATATTGCTATTTATAGCTTAAGTTCTTAAATTAGCTTAACTTAAATAGCTTACTTTTTAAAGCTTACATTATTATAATTTATAATAATGATGTTAAGGAATTTAATTGCTTAACTTCATTCATGAGCGGTATATTTAATCTATATGTGTATATCAAACATAAAGCAGAGTTTAAAATCATTTTATTTACTTAACCGATTCATTCACACCAGAAAAACAGTGTGTAAGCACGGTCAAGAGTCAATGGGAAATTGTGTACACAATTTAATGCATATACAATAAAATTATTTGTTAAAATTTGCATATATATTTTGGCACAATATTTAAAAGGCACAAAAGTTAGAATATAGTATTAGAACAAACCAAATGAGGAATAGCTTGAACTGTAGTTTTTGAGGTCTGACTATTAAAACCTGCTGATGCACCCCACAGCTATGCAGCCTCTGGCTGCTTGGAATGCAGTGAGAAAGAACGGCGTTCTCCGTCTGAAACAACAACCTCATGTGAACTTCCCCTCCCCCTGCCTCAAAGATCAGCAACTAGGAGATGCAGGTACTCCTCTGACTCACAACATATATGCATGCACTTACAAAAAATTAAAAGCAAAGGCTTCAAGCCTGAAAAATAAAGAAAAGAAAGAAAGTTAGCTGACATGCACTCACATAACCTACGAGAACTGCTGTCAAAATTCCTCAGACAAGTACATGCAAAAATACACACTGAAGAACCATTTACTCACAATGATGCCAAGCAAATGCAAAGGTGCACACAGACCTCTCAGGCACAACTACCTTCTCTAATGTCTCTCTCTGTCTGTCAGTCTCACACAAACCCACACACACCAGGGAAGTTTCATATGTGTCAGCTTCACTGTCTGGTGCTGCCACTGCACTCTGAGCGCGGCCCCTCCCAAAGCCGCCACGCTGCGGGAGAAAAAGAGAGAGTAAAAAAAATTGGGCGGGCGACCAAGCCTGGGCTCAATGCAGCACTCCATATGAACTCAGTGGCCTCACAGATGGTCACGTGGCACGAATAAAGTGAAAGAGTGAGAGATAGAGGCCCCTGAGGAGGCCACTGAGGCCACCCACCTCATTCAACATTTCAGCTTTTGCTTGTGGCTCAGTGAGAGGAAGAAAGGGTGGAAAATGCATCAGTCACCTAGTTTTTTAGCAGCGGCCAGTGCGTTGTTACGCTAAAAGGTATATTATAAGGTATATAAACATGTCAAACGTTTTTGAAGTCTCTTATGCTCACCAATTTTTTAAACAAAAATATGGTAAAAACAGTAATATTGTAACTTAAAATAACGATTTTCTGTTTTATTATATTTGAAAATGTAATTTATTCCTTGCCATGGCAAAGTTTAATTTTCAGCAGTCATTACTCCCGTCTTTAGTGTCACATGGTCCTTCACTATATTGCTGTTCTCACTGTATTACTGTATTGAAAAATTACAGCCTTGGAGGTCTGTTTGTTTTTATGTTCAGTTCCTTAGCAACCACTATACTCCTGGTTGAGAATGGACCACCTTGAGAGAGCCGCCAGATTTTTCAGCTTGAGGACGAGCAGGTTTTCTTTTAGGATTTTCTTAAAAGAGGACATGATTACTCTCAGCAACTAAACAGCCTTTGAGTAGTGGGCTTTGTACACCAAGTAAAATTTCTTAAGAGGATTAAAGGGGTCATATGATGTTGCTAAAAAGAACATTATTTTGTGTATTTGCTGTAATGAAATTAGCTTAGAGTGAGCAGAGGCGGCGATTTCGACTAAGGAGCATCCGGAAGGCTTGCGGCAACCACATATGACGACTCCGGGCTGGACTCCGCTTCGTCCACGGTGAAAGCCGATCCGGCGAGGATGTAAGAAAACTAATGGAGGCACAAAATCCCTATATCTAATCATTTAAATAAACTTAAATAATAATAATAATAATAATAATAATCTTCTTTAAAAAAAAAAAGCAATCCCTCTCATTTTCTGATTCAAGATATCCTGTAAATTTAAATCCACAAAATTGATCAGTTCACAGAGCCAGCTGGTTTTGGTAGACAATTGTAGATTTATGTCAAGCATTTTTGACATTTTTTCCTACATTCTAAACATCTTTTCCAACTTCACACAGAAAACATTGTTCCCAGACACTAAACTACCTTGGTTGACCACCACATTGCGCAAATGTACGTCAGACACAAAATAGCCTACATGCAGAACTGTTTATAAAAATAAATAAAAACCTGCACTATCAGTTGTAACCTTATTGTATGAGTTTTATTATCAGTTATATTTATATGTGGTCTAAGTCTGTCAACATGTTTGAAGCCAAACATAACTCTAATGTTTACTTTTGGCGTTTGATTTGCTGGTTGCAGAAGGTATGCACTACATGCATCTCTATTAACACAGTGTGTATATTAACATTTATGGCATATGAAAGCTGCCATATATAACAAATACATTTTTTTTTGGACTTCTGAAGAACAGAATATTTGCAAAATATCACCTTACTGAGTTAGCAAAAGTTGTAGTAGCTCGGGCAACTTCAGCCGTGATACAGTTAGTTGCCTGAGGAACCCATCTCATGTTCACTTCAGCCCAAAACAAGAGTGCTATCATGCATAACGTTACTGAGAAATAAAAAAAATCTTTATGTACAAATGTACAACATCATGTCATAACCCCAAGATTTCAGATGTGACTTCGGCTCATTTCACAAATTCTGTGAGCGTCTTCACGTAGCCTACAACTTCTATTATGTTGTGGGTAAAACTATGTCCTTGCAAAACTCTTTCCGCTCTTATATCGCTCTGTATCTCTCTCCAGCTATTTCATTCCTCATTTGGTTTTCCTTCATTCGTTCGGGATATTTCAGTGTTGTGCAGTAAGTGAGCAAAGATGCGCAGGCGGTGACGTCAGATTTTCTTAAACAGACCCAACATTTCCTCAAAGAGACTTTACCACACAGCAAAAATGTCGGAGGGTGGGACTTTACAATCAAATAATGTTGCAGCAGCAGTTTTTAACATTAAGGACATGACATTTGACGCACAGATGCCATTGGCACATGCCGCTATGCTCAGTGACACTTCCGGTGGCACTTCCGGTTTTCAGTGGCATGTGTCAGTGGAGAGTGGCATGTGTCACTAAAACCTGTGACACACGTCAATGGACTGCGTCTTGTGTCAGTTGCCGCGGTGCGTGTCGCACCTTCGGTAGTGACTGACACCTGCCGCTGGGTGTCGCTGCATAATGTAGATTGCGTGACACACGCACTTAACGGCAGAACGATATTGAATTAATTAACAGTATGTTGCTGTCAAACATACGATTTATTACATCGCGGAGTTCATTTGTACAACAAAAACTGAGTTCCTATATTAAGATTAAAATGTGTCTAATGCCCCTTAATGAGTATTTTTCATTGTAAGTTTATTTCCAGTAGCCAGTTCCAGTTTTGTGCAATGCATTCAAATACGTAAATACCCGTTTTTTTTCCATTTTTGCATAGATTTGACAGTTCAGCTGTATCATTTGTAATTATAAAATAATATAGAGACTATGCAGAGGCCATAACAAAAAAAATAAATAAAAAAAGAAGAAAAATAAAAAAAGAAACGTTTTAATCAAATGTGCCACCACTAACTGATACTTGCCAATCAGGAATTAGCCTGCATATAAATATAAACTGATGAGAAAATGCCACAAACCATTATGATGTCTACTATTCTAACGTGCTTTATGAAACTTACACCAACCATTCAGAAGTGTGCTTGACCTTGACACAGGCTTTTCACAACGCAATGTAGGCTAATGTAAGTCTGTAATGTAATGTAAGTCTATGCTATATTAAACAAAGTTTGTACTTATTAACGTGTCTGCAGAAAGTCAAATGCTTTGACAAAACATTCAGGCATCTCCAGAAGAAATGCATGCCCATACTAATATATATATATATATATATATACAGTAAAATCCTGAGTGTTAAATTAACACTGCTCAGCGCATATATGGTCCCACTCTAAAAGAGTGTTAAAGTAACACTGAAGCAGTGTTAAAGGTAATGAGATAATTATGTGATTAATTAAGTGCTGATTGATCATTAGTAATGAACACCTGCTGTTAACAAGCAGAATCACTGAAGAAAAGAGAAACACAAGAACTACAACTGACTTCAGCCACAGCCTTAGATGAAATAAACTGAAATAAAACACATTAAATCTCTCAAGATTTCCGTAGAAGATAATTAAACAACTCCACAAACAGCAACACCAGCTTCGTGCATTACAAACCAGTCAACTTACCGTTTTGGTGAATAGTGTTTGCTTTAGTTGCCTCTTGACCCTTGACTTATTAAAAACAAGTTTTTCTTCAATTGTCACAGTTGTGTTTATAAAGCACACGTGATGGCAAGGCACTTATGACAAAATCATTTCATGCGTTTGAGTCTGATTGCATTTTGTCTAAATTTGTAGTGCGTTTATGATTTCTGTGTTATTGCAGTTCTATGATATGAGACAATGTGAGAAAACTTTATAAACTGCTATTATAAATATGGTTCGTTGAGAGGTTTTGATTCTGGCACTCATAGACATGAAGAATCAGCATGTGAGTCTCAGCGATGGTGACAAAATGTTCTGATAATTTTTATATGATTTTTGAACGTCACAAAACAAGGCAGTAAAAAGTCACAACAAAAATAACAGCAAACAGTAAGAACAAAAAAAAATCCTAAAACAATGCAGCGGCATAATTTATTCATGTCGCAATGCATGCTGGGAGCCATGGATGAGTTATGATTGGTGCACCCAGAATGCA